CCTAGCCAACTATTGTGGTAAATTCCAGATAATCCCAGCCAACCAATCAGCACGGTTCCACAACAATTTTCCAAGCCACTGTGCTCCGTTCCACGTCAAGTCTGAAACCCAAGCGATTTTTCCCCAAGTCCAATGAACCATTCCAATCCAGATGCACTGAATTCCAGTCGATACTTTCCCTACTGCTAAGAATGATGCCATAACACATTTCTTCCACATCCCGTGCGATAATTTCCACCGTACCGTCGTGCACCCGGGTCACTGCTGTTCAATGTAAAATTCCGCATCCGGGATATCAATCCAGGGTTTGTAATCTTGAAAGCCCTCTAGTCGAAGCATGTCGTGTTTCTGAGGGATTTTCTTGCGCTTGAAGATCTGACAATGATGATTTAAAAAGTTATTGGCCATGTGAAATCATGAAAAGGGGTCTAGCACTTTGGAACATCAAACTAAGAAAACTAAACGGAAAGTAAAAAGAATTATTAGATGGTAAGGCGGTCCTGAGGTAAATCCGAGCGTTCTGATTGGTTCTTAGTTGGTCGGGATTTTGCACCACAGACTGTTCCCACGGAAACGTTCCTTGGCCATGTTCATCGCTGCTTAGCCAGAAATGCCAGCGTATCCTGTATTGTTACGGTAGTTATTTATTTTATTTTATCTTTATTTTTTTAACTTAGTGTTAGGGGAGAAGATATCCTATCGCTTATCATTCTGCAAGACAGAATTAACTCATTTTTTGGCCGTTCGCTAGCATGTCACGCAACGCTTCCGTCAAGAGATTTCTATCGGAGTGCGTTGTGTGACATCCGAAAGAACAATTGTGTAGAGACAACCTGTGACCCAGCTTCGTTCCTAGAATGAGCCTCTCAGGGCCAGACTCGAGAGATGGGAGAAATCAAGAATAGTACACTCTTGAAGACAGTTTGTCCGCCTCTGTCTGGTGCGGGATAAGTTAAGCTCTTCCTGGGTGGCTTACATTCCTTGCAAAGATTGCAAAGTCCGACGGATGTTTATTTAAACGGATTCTCCCGAAAAAAATTTAACAGAATTGCTAAATTTGGTGTGATTAAAGAGGCTAATGTTTGTTTTTGTGTGTCAAAGAAAAAAAGGAAATGCGGGACGTCCTTTAAGAGGAATTCATCCCTAGCGTGAGGGAAGGCTTTCTACTTTGCGCTTAAGAAAAGCAACCGTTGGAGTTTAGAGAGCTTCCTTAAAAGTTCTTGTTTGGGCCTAGGAGCGACAAATAGGGCGAAATTTAACAAAAGCAATCGCTAGATTTTTGTATTTACCGTTTTGTTTAGTTTTTCGTGTTCAACGATAACGAGAGCCTTTTGTTTGGTAGAAAAGAAACCTTTCCTTTCTGCCTTTGCACGTTGTGTTCACGTGGAAAAGCGTGGTTACTAAGTAGATCAAATTTCACCAGAGTACTTCCCGTCAACGCACCCACTTTTGCGTCTGTGAAGTTGTATTTGCCTTCCAAACTGCGTTTTTCTTTTTCAAGACGTTGGAAGACTTGGTTGGAATTGCGAACGACCCGATCTCCCGAGAAAATTTTTCGCTTTTAACACACTTATGGGTCAAATTGCGAAGTGTTTGTACATTTCAAGAAGTTTGTATCATACAAGCCCAGTCTCGAGACCATGGCAGCAGAACTGGAGGACAGTATTTCAACGATTTTTCAGGGTAAGATCTTCTTCTAGAGATCATACTAGTTTTTGATAAGATTTTTGAACTCTACTCTTTTTTGGATTTTCCCTTTCGTCTGTTTTGTTTATTACGCTCCTAAATGGTTATGTAAGGTTTTCCAGAACGTAAATTGATTTCGTCATACGTTATATTCTGTTGCCGGTAGATTCATATTTGTGCGCATAAACCTTACTGCAGAAGATAATTCTGACACAAAAATGATTAAGTAAATCCTAAATTTGGCAAGATTTATACCGAAAGAGAGAGTGAATGAGATAAATGGTGGTTCAAACAGGGTTTTGTTCAGTTCTCTTTTAACCACATGTTTCGTCACATGTTTGGCTCATTGCGTTACGCAACCTATAATTGAGTTCAGAACTCTTGTAAGTACCATATTGTAGCTTCTGTTTGCTTGATCTAAGTTGAATAATTTCATATAAAGATCTGATGTTGCCGAAAGAAGAATTCCACTCGAAATGTCAGCACTATTACAGCACTTTGCCTCGTAGTTGATTACGTGCAGATGTTAGCTTAGCAACCCCCGCTATCCTTCCTTCTTACCTCTCTTCCACTTGTGTTACTTTCTTTGAGCCAAGTTTGTTTTTTTTTTCATTGTCTGTGTTCTATAGTTTTTCCATTTCTCTTGTAATCGTCATTTTGTTTGAAATTGTTTGTTGAAACACTGAGCATGAAAACAGTGTCCAGAACAGTAGTTTGAAGTTAGTGTGGCTTAGACAAAGCTGTGTGGGGAAGTCTAACTCAATACAAAAAGATTTTAGGTAAAGGAACAAATTTACCAGCTTCCAGAGTGACTTACTGCTAAGAAATTGACTGTGATAATGGCATACAAGCTGCACTTTCTTCCCACAATTTTTGCAATAAATCAGGCATGCAGCTTAGCTGCAAGGACTTTAATTACAAAAAAATGCTGCAAATTTGCATAAACTAAAAGCAAACTAGAAAGGACTCCATTAAAAGATGCAAGGATAGAAATTGATCATTGGTTTTGCAAGTTTGGTGACTTCTATAAGAGCACAAGCTCAATTTCTTGCTGTTGAGTGGTGTTAAACCTTTTATTAGCAGAGACTTTTTTAATCAGTATTAAATGCAGCACATTTGTCAGTGCAGCTTATTTAGCTACAAAATTTAACATAATTTAATCCTTACTTTCTATGTTTGCAGTCTGGAGAAAAGCCTGTCATCTTTAACTTCACAGACAAGGGACCATCAGATTGTTATTTACACAGAGGAGCTTATGGACTCTACCTAGTTGGAAGTTTTATCTCTTTTTATGGAGTATACCTGATGATAAATTGTAAGACAAAGAAAAGCTCACAGTGAATTCTTCATTGGGACTTTGATAATTTTCTACTGCAATTCTACTCATGTTTGGACACTCGATAGACATTAATTCAAGTGGACTGTCATGTTGGAAACTTCATCTTGGAATTGTCTCATCTTGTAAAAGAATTGGTCAAGTTGACTATGAACTTGTTAAGACTATTTCAAGTCACTTGGAAAGTCATGCAGTCATTTTCCAGAACAATGTGTTTTATCATCTTGGTTTGAATGTTTGGCACATGATAATGCAGAGACTTGAACACCAACTGAAACAAAATCAGTGAAGTTACAAAAAATACTCCACTGAGTGTCGTTTCTGGGTTGTAAAACCATTATGTGACACAACATTTATTTAAGAAATTCTATCTCTATGTGAAGAGATTGTGGGTGAAGTAAATTTAAAGTGAGCATTCTTCTTAGCCTTGTAATTCTAACTTTAGACTGACTGAACAATTTACAACTGGCTTTTGAGAGCGTTTTTTTTTTAGAAAAGAGTTATTATCATGTTGGAAGAAACATTGCTCGTGTATTGTCACAGCACTCCTTTGCAATTGATTTAAACATTATGACCTTTAAATACAGGAAGCAACCTATTTTTTTCATAGGTTAAATAGGAGCTAAACAATTTGTGGAAGGAGAGGTCAAGATTTATTATTTATGAGATGTAACATAGAAACAGTAATGTATATCATTGTTAAGGTGACATTTGATTGTAATATTACAAATCAAACCTTTGTGTTCGTGTGTTAAATATTATTTTCATCATTATCACTTGGTGGGGAGAAGATGGAAGTCTCTTCCTCCACCAAACAAACAGTCTTTTCCAGAACAACAAATCTTAGGGAGTGACCAAGTCAGAATTGGGTTCAGTTTTACTTAAGGAGGATGTTGCAGGTTATCAAGACTAATGACCAAAACAATTCTGTAGCAAATTCACTGGTTATGTCCTTGATTTCAAAATTACCAAAGGAGAGCCTTAGATTTCTAAAATACAACACACATGTGACAATAGTTGCTAGATTAAGTCAACTTATGAGCTGTGTACAGCACACACTTGCTTGAGCGTATAGTGCAACTTCTCCTTGAATGGAATGACAATCCATGTCAGTGTTATCATGTACTTAGTATGGTTTCCCTGATGACTTGCTGTTGTTTTTGGAAGGAAAAAGCTCTAAACAGTCTACAGTGTCTTCTACAAGTACACAATGACCTTACTAGGATTGAAACTGAACCCTCTATCCAGGAATCAAATCCTCTATTGAGTCTCTGCCACGCCACTACATTACCCCAAAAGTGAAAATATTCTACTGTTGGCACCCTGTAGAGGGGAGTTTATGAACAGTACTTAATATACCATTATTCCATTGCAAGTGAACTTTATTTTTCTTGAAGTTGGGAGATTTTTGTTTATTAATTTATGCAATGCATAATGTGAAAAAAAATAATTTACATTTTACACATGGTAATAATAACAATACATAACCAATTAAATAGTAATAGATACTTTCTCCAAATACTTTCCATTAATTTATTTATAAATTTCATAACAAAAATACCAGTTAAAAAATTAATTTAAATCATATGTCTAGGAATTAATTCATGGGTGAAATTCACTTTCCTGAAACATTTTTTTCTCCTCTGTTTTAAAAAATATGTGGCAGGATTAAGATTGTCTGTTTCAATACTTTATTAAGTTACAAAGATTCAGGGTTCGCAACATTTAACCATACAGGTTGCTCTTATGCAGCTCAATGTCTGTTGTAATGCATTTGTTTCTCCACTGAGCTCACTAAGCTTCTTTCCAACACTGTAACAGCTTGTAAAGGAAAATAGAGCTGCGACCAAGTAGAGCTTATGTTATGCTAAGTAAAAGCCTAAGTGTTCTTCCACTGAAACAACATGTTGACTGTCTGGTGAGGCAACATGACAGGTCTTGTAGAATGAAGACTGAAGGAACAGCTCATTTTTCTATGCCCACCAACTTTCTCAAAGAGAGGCATATAGGATCTCTTACATCATTTATAAAAAGTAATCAATATAATGGATAGATCTTATGTGCTGGACTTCCATCCTTTTTAATTTAATGACGGCACATGTTTTCCCTCCCACTCGAGCCATACTCCTGGCCACTTTGTCTTCAGACAAGAAACAATCTGTTGTTCTGCTATGCGACTGAAGTCTGATGGCTCAATGGAAGCTAGTCCTTCTGTATACATAACCTTTGAGGAAAAGTGTACAATCAGTTTATCAAATGAACAATTTATAATGTTGAATTACTAAGAGAAGATCCCTCATCATATTGTCTCCCCTACTCAAAACCACATGACCATGATTTGGAACACATAGTTTTATGTTAAAGGATTTTGTTTTCATATCAAGAATTATTTTATTAGGTGTTTAGAGACTAACTGAAATACTAGGAGGGCCCTTGTGGGTCAAAGACCTATCATTTATTGCACCAGTAAATCCACCAGGAAAACAGGTGTAATGTTGGGAGAACATGAATAAACAGGTTAATTTAGTGTTATCAACTGAATTGAAAACATAAATTGGCCAATATAAAGAGTTTAAAGCTGACGTTTTGGGAATTAGCCCTTTGTCAGAGCGATAGGAATGAACATTAAAAAAGGTTGTAAGTAGGTCAGGGCAAGTGATTTAAAAACTTCTCTTGTGTTCTCCCAACATCCTAAGTGGGTCCTTACTGTGGTAAACCAAAAGAAAGTGCACTCTGTTGCTTTTACCAAACAAACTTCAATTTTCTAAGGGTTGCAAATATTACAATCATAAGCACCCCATGCTTTTGAACTAAATTATTTAAAAATGCCAGAATACAGCATCTGAGGCCAGCTTGTTTGTCTTTTTTACTGTCATCACATTCAAGAAGGGTTTATACAAAGTTCAATAACCTCTACCTTTTTGGTGCCATCTTCCTCTCTTAATCCAAGTCCATTGTAATGAAAAGCTTTAAATGGCTTAACATCATCTGCTAGCATATCCTGCAAGCAGATGTAACACAAACAATATTCTAAAACAATAGATTTATGAATTCAAAGTTTCACCTTAATAGCTCTGAACATTGGACTTAGATGTGGCAGAAGAGTCCAGAAGTTTTTCAATGTATATTTGAAATCCTTGAAAGGACCATGCATCATGCATCATTCACCATGCATCACACATCAAGCAACATGGATCATGATTCCTGTGGGTTAAACATTAATTAACCATTTTAAGGCACCACATACCTCTCCAGGGAAAAACTCTGTCAGGAAATTATGCAGAAGAATGATCCCAACAGAATCTTGGTCTAAGCGTTCTTTCATGAAGGATACACTTGGAAAATAGAACCACATGATTAGTAAATAAAAAAAACAACTTGCTGTTTAAAAAGATGATAAAGTGATAATTTTTTTTTAAACTGATTGTCAAGTTTACCCCCATACAAGGAGCAAGGATATTATTGTTAGAAAATGGTTTTTAAAAGTAATCACCGACAACCACAAATCAGAGCAAATGAAATTAAATGAATGAGGCAATGAGAAACCAAAGTAAAAAACTGCAAAAATAAAGAAATATTTAATATATTGCACACACACATAATTGACCAAGTCCTGAATGGTTTAAGTTCTGAATCTGATTGCTTGAGACAGCTGCTGAACCAATCACATCACAAAGTAATGCAAAACTAATTAAAAGCAATCCACAATTATGTTCAACAATCTGTTGAAAATTGCTCAAAAAATCAAATGGCAGAAGTAGCAATTATGATACAATAAGAGGTAACTTACTATTCAGGATCAGAAACAAGATCAAGATCCTCTAAGACACTTCCAAGTTGATCACTTGTAATAAAACCATTGTCTATTCAAGAGAAAGCAAATGAAAAAATTTTAGAACCTTGCCAGAATTCAATTTCAAGGAGTAATACACATAAATCTTCAAATTAAAAAGAGGTTTAAATAGTCTGTTGAACATATTAATACCTTGCTGGTCATGAGATTTAAAAACTCTCAAGCCTCTTTCTCTATCACTTTCTGAGCCAGTTAGACTTCGTTCCTAAAATGATAAGACAAAAAGTCTGTGGGAAAAATTCCTTATGAAAGATTAATATGTTTACCTAATGAGCAGATATTATGACTATAATACCTTATGTAAATGATCCCTAAAAGTATAGAGGATCCCCCAAAAAACATCAACAAGATTTTCCACCTCAGGAATAATAAAAAACAAGGGAAATGTGGGAGTCTGCACTTCACGAAATTGACTGTGGATCAAGTGTTCTGGGTGCCAACTCTAGCAGGGACACAGTGTTTTCCTTTTCAGGCCAAAACAAGTAAAATTTACCCCCTGTAGTACCTCATATTATTGCCCAAAATCACTTAGAATTCTTGAAAATTCAACAAGTAAAAAGATTTCTCTACTGGTTTGAAAATTTAATTTACCTGCTATGCCTAACAGGAGGGAGAACACTGAGGACATTGTTTTGTGTTCTTTGGTAACACACTTCACTTAATTAATGCAGTAACATGTCTCTCTCTCCTTCCATGAGTATAAATGAGTGGCAGTGAACTATCAAAGATTGCTGACCTAATGGTGTGGTTACCCTAAGATGAAATGGCATCCTATCTACAAAGTATGGCAATAGAATACTTCTTATTGCCTTCTGCTTGTAAAGTCAGGAATCTTAATAGTAGTAAGAAACTCTGACAAACAAGTAAAGAAATGTCTATTTGGATAACTAACCTGGGAGAAGAAGACTGTAAGGTGAGTTTCACTTGCAAGAAGCCATACTGGATACATAGGAGATTTCAAAAAGTTCCCAACCTATTATATGTATTTTTAGAAAATAATAAATATAGACCACAGCAAAAGTTGTGTTATTTGGAATTTGATTTTCAGAGTTCAAATAAATGTGTTATGATCTATAAGTGCATTAATTAGTTTCTGCACTTGTATTTTCAGCATGCATGTTTATTTGAAACTATGGACATAGAAAAATATTTTGAGAAATGGCTTTAACACTTTACATTATAACATCAGTATGTATATTCTCTGTACTGTTCTCTATATATTTCCTAAGGTGCTGATAAGGAGAATTTGTGTAAGGAGAAATTAGATGCTTTAAGGGGTCAAAGATTTAAATAAGAACAAAGTGCCAGATGAAAAACTTGCCTCACAGTATCGATGAGCTTCTAAAAGTGTTAAAAATCCTATTGAAGACTGTTTAGGAACACCTCTTAATTCTACAGAAATAAAGGCAATGTTGGAACAACTTTTCCTCCATGTCATATCTATTTGCCCTTCTCATTCCAAGATCTAACTATGAACTCTTTGCACTGTCTACCAGAGTCTTTTTTTTTTCATTTGGTGCTCAATCAACCATTATCCACTTGTTAATATTTTTCTTTTTCTTTTTTTGATTTCTCATCACCTCTCTGCCTTAAAAGGTATTGATAATTGTAAGGAGAAATTTCTTCTTGGTTGCCAAAAGGAGCAAAAGGGGTTTAGAACCAACTTAGTGTTAAAAAAAATTTTTGTCAGCCTCCTCCCCCTCTTCTTGGAATTTCTAATGATGTTCCAAGGGGATGGGTTGGTTATTTCCAGAAACAAAAACTCATGGCAAAAAATAGTTAAACTCCTAAACTGTAATTCTTGAAAGAATTCTTGATTTTACAACTTACCCAGGCCTGAAAGTGTTCTTGAAGAGTCCCAGACATTTGATACGCTATATCCAGTCAGCATAAGGTTGATGAGGGTTTGACTAAAGAAAGAATTAGGAAAGTTAATTTTAAATTCTTTAACACAGAAAAATATACTGTGAAATAAACTCTTTGCTAGAAGCCTTTGAGTTAGATACCTATTCTGATACAAAAGTGAAAAGTAGAAAAAAATGAAACTTGTTTCTATACATGTATTTTGATAATGAAAAAACTTTTAAATATATTATTTTCTTTCCAAAAATTTCAGCTCAAAACTGGATCAAGAGCAGGGAGGTTTGCAAAGCAAAATGCTGGAAAAACTGTGTTTGTAGTCTTTGTACTCTTGAATAGTTTCTACTGACAGTGCGACAAGACAGGATACAAACCTTCCATGCCCAAAACTCTCATCCACCAGCGGTTCACCCACATCTTCCATTTCAGACCTGATACTTTCTAAACCCTATGCGTAAAACAAATCTTTTTCACCCACAACATTTAAACTTTTATATTGATTCTACTTTTCATGACTCTATATCATTCAAAACCTGACTGTAAACTTATCAAAAAAAATCCTTAAGAGATCAATCATGCATAGATAAAAATAATTTAGAAGCAGATTAAGAATTGTGCAGTGAAATACTGTTGTACAGAAAGCCATTGTCCTCTATCTGATACTTTATTTTATTCTCATCACTTATCTGCATGATATTGTATTGATTTTTTTAATGAAAAATTTTGTCTTGGATGAGTAAAAATATATGTAGGATTTAAGTAAGGTCAAGACAAGCTCATGTACATGTAGCTGTAAGTTAAAGTTACAATGACTATCAATACCTTTGTTAATAACACTGAATAAAGAAATAGCAGCACACCAAAGCGGCCTTCTAACATGGCTATGTTTTTTTTAATAACTTGAGTGACATCCTCTAAAGCATGACATTGAACCTGACTGTGAGAAAAAATAAACAATATAAATTAATACAAGAATGTCTTAATTACTGACCCCTCTTTCACTGCATGACCAGAAAGGATTCAACCCCAACAGTCATATGGTATTTCATGGAAATGAGATCCATTCAGGATCCCATAGAAAAAGGTGCAAGATCTCTATCTACACCATTTGGGCTTGAATTACATTAATTATATTATTCAAACTCTTTCCTAAGAAACATACCATAGTTTTGAATGAAAATTATCACTAGATAATGAAGTAAGCTCCGAAGCACAGACTGATTTGTGGTAATCAGGGGAACTGGAATCTGGAAAAAGAAAAAAAACAGTTACAGCAACTTAACAAATAGATTCCATGCTGCCAATTGCATCTGTTCAGTAACAGATCACAGATGACATCAAAATGAGGTAAGAACAAAAAAGTAGCAAACCAGGCGCAGCAGAATGTGTCACTGATATTTTCATCAGATTTTGACATCTTCTGCAATCTTCTATTGAAAAGACCCATGACAACATATATGATACATTAAATAAATTTATCATAAGAAAGTAAGAATTTTCTGATTGTGACATCATCTACATGTCTTTCCTCAAATAGATCTGTTTTCATAAGTTAGAACAACTCAAAATGTGGGGATAATTCAACTTATCGTATAAATAAAATTAACAGCATATAGTTAACAACGATTCAAGAGAAAGGATTTCTGAGACTATAACTTGTGATACACAAATTCAAATGATCCCATAGTCACTACAATTCCTACAAGATTTGAAAAAGTTGTCAGCCATCATGGGCTAAAACAAAGGAGTACCTGGACTGTTGGATGATGCACACTCCTCACTTTCTGTGTCTGTTCTTTCAGCTGTCATACATGATGTAAAGACCAGATGATCCCTGAGAAACACCAGGGTAAATTTCTCAGTTTTGACATTGTTAAGCATCTCACAAAGAGAGCAAACAAGCAACTGTCTAGCTTGCTCATCTGTTGAATTTAACAGAACCATGTACCAGGTTATGCTGTTTAGCGGTAATCTTATTATTTTTTTTTTTAAGGGTGATACTTAATTCTTGAGCTTGACTCCTGAAAATATTCATTCTCTCCCACAATTCTAATAAAAATGTCAAGCAGAAAGCTGACAAGAATTGAGAAAATAGTCATCTACAAATACAGTTTTGAATATGGCATCAAATCACTAAAATTTTGTCAACAATGATATCACTGCTATGGTTTTGTCCCAGAGGATCAGTCTTTAACTTCTATTTCTAATCCCTAGAAGGCTAGATGTATTTTTACTTCTTAAATCCAAAGGTCCTTGGAGGTTGAAGTGTTCGAGAAAGAAAAGCCTTAGTATAATCATGATTACTGTTTTCTTTACAAGAAACTTGCCAGTTATTTAATTTATATAACAAAGATAACTAACCTGCGACTTGTCTCCAGTTATCAGGAGCTGGTGTTTCCTCTACAAAAAGGATATTCTTTAGAATAAAAGCCTGAAAATTGAATAAAGAAATAAGACCCCTTATTATATCAAATGGTAGAATCTGCTGTAACTTAAAGGGCTTGCTTGGTTCACAGACAAATTGCCAAGAAAGCCACCTGGAGATGAAATATTTCTTAAAAGAAGAAACAAGTGTTAAAGAGCATCTGTTTCTAGCACCTCTATGTTAATTATGGATACTTCAAATAAATGTATCAATGGAATAACTTTAATGGAACATAAATTTTTAAAAATCCCAGCTGTTAGGAGGCAAAACAAGTCAAGCTTGTGGGTGAGACCACTTGGGAAAAGTCAGCGTAAAACCTCTTAACCTGGGTCTGGTGGATCATCAGTATTATTTTCACCTGGACAGAAGCTATGATAGCACATGGTCCTCCATGTTCCTGAATAAGAGCACTCGGTTCCACTGTTGAAAAGACAAAACCTACAAGAAATACAACACAAGTAGTGAAGACCATGTCATATCATGCATGTTCACTAATTTCACACACATCCTCATTATCTCATTTATTTCAATTTTTTAAGACAGGATAGGCTCCTTGGTGTTTTTCAGTCTTTGACCTATATGGACATAAGGGTCTTGGTGTCCATTCTTTAAACCATAATATCAGTATGCAAGTTCTCCATATAAACTATTCCCTATACATTTCCTATGGTGTTTACAGGGAGAATTTTTTCAATAATCGAAGGCTTCTTGAGTTTGGAATAATTGCCTACATGTATATTTTCATGGCTTTAATATTTGGCTGAGGAGTAATATTGTTGGGAGAAATCAGATACTTATCACTCTTAGGGGTCAAAGGCTTTAGGCACCCAACCAAGATCACCTTTGGATTAACCTCTAAAATGAGAAGTGAATTTGCTAAAGACTGTGTAATTTTGACCACTGATAAGTCCAAAACAATTCTGTTAGTAAAGTGGCAGCACCTGTGGGGAATCCTAGAGTTTGACTCAAATTGTGGGAACTGAACTGAGGGTTCTCACACAATTGTGCACTGCATTCAAATTGGCATAGCTTCAGTGCAGCCATATTATGAATAGAAGCGTATCATGTCGTAGGTAAGAGGCCAGATTGCAAGGCAATACCCAAATAAGTGTAGGGCATTTATGGTCAATTATTTAGCGCATTTGAAGATAATTTTCGGAAGGTTAGGTTACTCTTTGGAATCTCAAAATGTGATAGGTTTACGTAGTGAAATTTCATATATAATTCTCAGTAGCAGAGATTAAAACTGATTAATTTATCATCCTTCCCCTTGAATTTTTCAGTTATATTTTGGCGATTTCTCAAAAACAGAACTACAAAATTTTGATACAAATCTTCACTTTTGGTTTCTCCAGTCAGAAATTGTTTGAACCTGATATTATAAATTATACTACAGAAAGTATTTGAGAAGAAAACCAAAATTATCACACCTAGGAGTTTCGATCCAAAGGCTACGTCGTGCTCTAAATGCCACGGAAGGGGTAAAGTGAAAATCGAAAAGGTATCATACATTTCACTTAAGGGATCAATTACCTATACCCAACAAATCTTTGGAAACAATACCTTGAGACCACCTTTCGAATATCTCCTCTTTCACGTTTGTTCCCCAGACAAGATTTAAAACCTCGTCGAAATTTTCAGACGACATAACCCGGCAAACGTCCTCGTCGTCCGCCATATTTGAAATAACCTACAATGCAATGCGAACCGTTAAGTTTATATACAGGCCAGCGGTGCTGTATTAGACCGCCATCTTGATCCTCTTGTGAGTGTGTGCGTGTTCTTTGCAGAAATGGCTACCGGAGTTAAAGACATACAATTCAAAGACCTAGAGGTCGAAGAAGTAGAAGTAACTTCCGCCGTTTTGATGGGAGGTGCGCATCATCTTGGGCAGTACTGTGACAAGGACTTCAAGACCTTCATGGGTTGCCGATATGGCCACAAAGACCCACGTAAGTGCTTGGACGAAGGAAAGCAAGCAACGAAATGTGCCCTAGATTACTTTAAGAAGCTTAAGGAACATTGCAACGACGTCTTCACCAAGCATTGGACTTGTCTTGACTATAATAACCAGGAATTTGGTTATTGCCGGGCGACGCAGAAGAAATTTGATGCCTGCGTCTTGGAAAAGCTTGGATTGGAATGTACACAACCTGTTCATCTTGAACTTTACGATTGATTTGGGTTGTTTTCAATGAACGGATATATGCTCTGAAAGTTGATTAGCATGACATCCTTAAGTCTAAATTGTGATGGGCATGGAAAAAATTTGACTCATGATGGATTTAAAAGTGTTTCTGTAATTACCAACAAGGCGTCTTGGCAAAATGTATAAAATGTACATTTAAGGATGCATCACTGTGGCTCTTAACTGTTTGCTGGAAATTTTTGGAAGTTTTGGTGAAGGAATAAAGTTTTGATGGACTGTCTTTCGAAAAATATGTTGCATCTCTGTAATTTAAATTTTTCCGGAAATTATGTGATCAGGGATTTTAATTGCCTTACGTGAGTAACCAAGATCGTTATTCTGGGTTAACAAAGGATAATCCTTCAAGCATAATTTTTGCTTTTGCAAGAAAATGGTATACTCTCAAAATAATTGAATGTTCAGTGTCCCTAAAAGTGGCATGGTGTCTAATCTCAGTCAAGCAGACAAGGTACCATACTTTGTGCTTTCAACCCTTGTTTGACCTCTCTCAGTATCTCATTTATTTATTAATTCTCCTTACTGTCTGCCATACAAATCCCTTGATGTTGGTTCAGAGAATTAGGTATTGGATCAACCAATATCCCCCAAATTGATATATTTCTTTGTTCCCATCATTTTTTCTTATGGTATCATCTTGATATTGTAAGGAGAAATTCTGTCTTGGTCACCCATGGGAGTTAACGTTGCCCTTAAACAATGAATACTTTTCATAAATAACAGGACCATCAACCACTCATTTCTCTGCTGACATTTAGTCATCTTCCATTACACAATGATTTTGCAGCCATTTTTGACATTAAATGGGCAGCAATCTACACCATTACAGAGTGGACAATCTTAGGTTCAGAAATTGTTAAGAAATGTGTAGAGTCCTTTCCATCTCAGTTGTCCACAGCCCATCTTGATCATGACAACCTTTTGCATTCATTGAATTTTCTTCTGTCAGAGAGGAGGGAAAGAGACATAGGGAGAGTTGAGGTCAGAGTGATAAGGTATTGGCATGGGTGGAATTTCAAAGGTAAAGGAAATTTGACTTTTTGTGATATTAGGGTACAAAAATTGACGAAGGGACAAGGAGACAACAGAGAGGCAAGAGTGAGAGGTAGAATCTGGATTCTCCTTTACCTTGAGTTGTCACACTCACTTTCCACCATGTAAATAATTTTTATGAATATTTTTCATTCTGTTCTCTATACATTTCCTAAGGAGCTGACAAGGAGAATCTGTTGAAGAATCAATAATTTCTTTAATTGCTGATCACTTCCCTAATTCTTGTGACCTTAAAGTTGGATTCGGGGGTGATATTGTGGAGAGAAATTAGATGCTTGTCAGTCTTTAGGGACAAAGAGTGAAAAAAGTTTGGGGACTGAGGATTTAATAAAAAAAAAAAAAAACTTCACTATTTTAATGATTATATATCATTTAAAACTTCCCTCTACAATAAATACAGAATAGTTCACTTTTCCGTCATTGTTAATTTTTTTTTACCTTCACTTTCCTGCAGCCTTCTGGAACTTGAATTGTATGGGGCAGCCAAGCCAACAGGAACACCTTGGGTTAAGTTACTGGCCAACATAAAAATCTTGATACCGGTAAATGATTTTGGATATTGCATAATATTGTAATCGGCTTGATAAGTTAACGGTGTCAGGACATAATATCTGAGACCGGGTCTGGCGGTTGTCGCAATTGCTTTCTCTCAGTTACCTTGAGATGATCGTCACGATAATTTTTGTTTTAAACCATCGTTTCCTTTATCCGTGTAAATTGACTAGAATTCTGCTCACAAACTCTAGATCATTGTTTCCGTTGACGTCGAAATTGATTTTCCTCTGGTTGCACATTTCCCGTGTATCCCCTCCCCCACCCTCAATGGAATTGACAAAAAGCCAATCGGACAGCCCACTGCTATTAATAAGCGAGACTCGCATTTCAATCATAAACAAACGAGCATGGCCGATAAGGTTCTGTCGGTGAGTCGGAGTTTTCTCTCAAAAAAAGATAAGGACTCCGTCACAGACTCCTGCTCCGTGTACAGAAGGAGATGGTACATCTTGATCGTATTCTCTTTGATCGCTGGAGTGCAGGCAGCGGCTTGGAACACGTGGGGTCCTATAGCGGGATCCGCTGAAGATGTTTTTGGCTGGAGCGATGGAACGATCGCGCTCCTCGAGAACTGGGGGCCGATCGCCTATATTGTGTCCTTCGCACTCTTTTCATGGCTTTTGGACGTCAAAGGTGTGCGATTTTATTATTTTTCTCGTCATAAAATCATGCTTCGATGGTTGGATAAAACATGCTTTTGCACGCATCCATTCAAATGCACACCTACGGCTCGTACACGTGTGTTTGTTTCGCATGGAGTGATTTTATGAATACAGCACCAGATGCATGAAAAGCGATCAGATTGTCTTATGCCTTCTTGTGTGTCATGTATTATTTAGACATTTTGGAGCTTATGTTGTTATTGTACTGTAATCCATTACGTCATATTCCGCTCGGATTAACAAGCAATTTGTAAAACAATAGGGAAAGGTTGATCTAATTAATACTGCGTTGTGGTTCGACTTCGGCGGAGACATGCCGTGATATTGGCTGAGAGAGAAATTGAAAGTAGAATGTTAAATTTAGTCTACTGTAAGGCACAAGTTGGTAATTGTGTAAATGATGTGGCAAAGGTTAGCAAAAAAGCTGCTGATGACAAACATTGTGTAATGCAATCTTTTGGTTTGGGGGGAGGGGGGGTGTGTCTCTTCCCATCTGCATTTTTTGTTCAGGGGTATTGTTTAATCATGATTGAAAATTGTTGAATGATGTGATTCTGTTGTAGGTTTAAGGATCTCAGTTCTAGTAACAGTTGCACTGATGTTTGTAGGAACAGGGATTAGGTGTATCACATCAAAACCCAAACCAGCAACATGGTATGTCCAATGCTATTGTAACTGGTTAAAATATTTGCTGATCTTATCAAAGACTTGGAATTTTTTCTTTGTTATCAGATTTTTAATACCTGTAAAGCAATTCATTTTTTTCAATTTTCAATAGGCTAATACACACGGGTCAATTTTTTAATGACCTTGCTGCACCAGTTGCCATGGGTGCTCCACCCTTGGTGTCCTCTACATGGTTCCCCCCTAATCAGAGAGCAACAGCAACAGCAATCTCATCATTAATGAGTTATGTTGGAATATCAATATCATTTGGAGTAGGGCCTTTTGTTCTCAATCCCACAGAAGTTGCAGATCCTCCCTTGCCTAATGCAGATATTTACAATAACTCTCACAAGGACAGTGTTTATTTGGGAAATAATAGCACAAACAGTTAAGTTCTCTTTGTCATTTTACTTCCATTTGGTATTAATAATTATTAGTAGACATCTATCTGTTTGCAATAATGATGCACTACAGTTTTAAGACTAATGATGATGAAGAACTAAGGTTGGTAATGCTCTCATGTATAGGATATTGAGAGGAAGTGAGGGCATTTCCTATGCAAACAAGTGATATTTGAAAGTTTGTTTATTGGACAAGTCATAGCATTGTAAACTGATCTTTGAAAGCTTTAATTCTGACCAAATCCCTTAGTGTACTCTATTGTAGTAAATTTATGCATAGTAATCATAATAATTTAGCAGTGGTTATTCCACAAGGTGGCTCTTTCTAACCACTGTTTCCAGATCAAATTGGAATGCTAGTTTTTGTGGAGGAAGGAAAACGGGAGGACCAAGAAAAAACCCTCAGAGTAACGTTGAGAACCAATAACAACCCCAACCCACATGTGACATCAAGTCTGGGAATCAAACCTGGACCACAGCAGTGAGAGGAAAGCGCTCTCACCACTGCACCATCTCCACTCGTCCCAATACATTCATAATTGACCAATCAGGCAGAAGATATTTTGTTAAATGTGTTAATAATTAACATCTTTATTTAGCTACTAGACAATAATAAGTAATATAATTTGGTTGTTCACTTACCACACAGAGATGTCTTGGGATAAGGCTGTGTCTACTGCAAGGTGGCATATCATGCTTTATATGTACATTGGTAAGTAAACAAAGATTGTGAAATTTTGCAAAAGTTTAGGTGCAACATAACTTTGTGTAGCTCTTTGGCAACCAGGACCTTTCTGAATTTGTTTATTGTCCTGAACAATGGTATAAAATCAATCTGTCTGCTGTGATATGAAGCAACTGGAGTAGGAGAATTGATTTATGTTCTCCTGGATGATTATACCTTTTTATCTCAGGTTTCTAATCCTTTAACTCCAAAGATCTGATTGTTAATTCTCTCCTCTAGCTGCTACACATTTCCTCATAAGCAAGTTACAAGAATTTGGTTTTAGATCAAGGTAACAACTTCTACCTGATAAGTTTGAGTAATAAAATGCCTAACCATCTCTTCTGAATTCCACAGAGTTTGGATTGGTGGCCTTCTTGTTTCTGTGTGTCTTGGTGTACTTCCCAGCAAAGCCTCCCAGGCCACCCAGTTTTTCTGCTGCCAAGAAAAAAGTTGACTATGTAGAAGGTGGAAAAAGACTCATCAAGTGAGTCTTAACTTTTTTTTAAAGATATCTCAGTATTTGACATTGTTTTTTTGTTGTCACTGAGCCTCTCTAAGAATTACCAGGACCCTCTGGATGAATCTGAATGGGCCACCCTGTGGCCACCCTGTATAGTTTACCTTACCTTACCTCAAATTGAAATCAAATTGAGTACTCAGAGAGAGTCAGAAAAATTGTTTGAAGATTTGTAAATGTTAGGCTATGCTGACCCTATTGCTTTTGTTGTTATTTTTGTAGAAATTGCCAGTTCTGGAATTTAAACATTCTTTATGGAGCAACAACAGGTATATTTGTGAAACACAGCATTACGAACAGTCCATCATACTCATATCATTTGTGACTGAAAGAGAGTTGTATATCTCAGCAAGACCATGCAAAGGGAGTTTCACAGAAGGAAACGTAGTATAGTGTTATATTTTCCTGTAAAATTCACCTCAGGAAAGAAAATTTCCTGTCCTTTATTTAAATTGTTGTTGGCTCTTTTGGTTTTGCCCACTTGACAGCAGATTAAATTAGAAAAGAAGGGCTACTTGCAGAAAGGTTAAATCCATTATATTGGCTCTCAAGTGTAAAGTCCTGTTTATCAGTGAATTCAGAATGGTACAGGTGTTGTAAGAAAGAGACACAAAATGCAAATGACAAGTTTCCTCTACATGCTTAAATTCATATTGATAATATTTTTCCTCAAGGTGTTTTCAGTGGATGGGGAGGAGTGTTGGCAGTGAATCTCTTGGCATTCAACTTAAAACAAGTAATTATCTTTCTTGCTACTCATTAAAGAGCTTTCTCTTTTATAAGCTTAGCTCACTCCAGTGGCTGCCTATTCTAACTTATTTTGATCAATACTTAATTTCTGGTAAAAGTTTCAAACCTGTCACCTTTATCAGTTTGCTTGATCACCAGCTGTTTCAAGGTAGGTTGTTGTGGTAGAACAGAAAAATGTCACAGTACACATGACAACTGCAAAAGGTACTGTGGTGATACTCAGGTTACAGTTCCTTGACCTCAGGATTTCAGGGAAATCTGGAAAAATGTCACTTTAAGGACAAGGCATCATGGGTTGGTGAATTAATTGATTTATTTGACTTATCATAATTATTCACTGATCACCAGATAACCTTTTGACATGGTTGCGTTCACCTTATTTCCGACAACCTTTCATAAAACAGCTGTATGCCTCCCTTCCATTCTGGTATTAACCCTTTAACTCCCATGAGTGACCAAGAGAGAATTTCTCCTTAAAAAAACAATACAATATCAACCAGATAAGTGATGAGAATTAAGAAAAGTAATAATTTGGAGATAATTAGTGGATCAAATACTAAATTCTCTGAACTAATATTGTTAGAATTGTATGGTTGACAGTAAGGAGAATTACAAATTTGATCTGGGAGTTAAGAATGAAAGTTTCCCTCAAAAAACTTTTTGCTGTGGAAATTCAAAAATGACTCTTACTGATCAGTGTTAGCATGTTATTTATCTGATAATTTAAGATTTGCTAAATTGCAATATTTTTTGTGTCCTTTTCTGAGCACATCCACTGCTTATCCCCTTGAGAAGACTCAATCATCAAATTGGTGAATAATATATAAATAAACTCAAGCAAGAGAGAATATTTGATATTTGATTTATTTTAAGGATACTGCTGGTTGGATTGGTTTCTATGCCAACATCACAGGTTGTGTCTTTGGATTCATCATGGCAAGGTATTAAAGGGTGGAGGGGTTGGATTATTGGTATAGGTTGCATGCGACATAGAATTACATGGCTGAGAAGGACTGAGTGGCTTGAAATTTGTTTTTATGACGGGAGGGGAGGGTTAGGCACTGGTGAAAGAGATATAGGAAAGTGATTGAGGCTAGAATACTCCTCTGTCTCTGGAAGAGTATTCTGTGATCAGGGTCTATTTTTTCTTTTTGTGTTTTTATACCATGACGAAAGATAGGGAAAAACCAGGAGTAAACGAATGCCATCCTCCACAATCATCATCTTTAAACGTAACCCGCCCCCTTCCCGAAAATCATTTTTT